TATCTGTCTCTGTAATTTTGTGGCACTGTAGTTCTGTCACAAAAACAAATTCCTCGTATGTGTGAACACACCTGTCAATAAAGCTCTTTCTATTTCTGATTCTGATGTCTTGCAGTAATATATAGTAACGCATAACTGCAAGATGAGGTCAAAATTTATTTTAGATAAAAAATGTGGATAACCCAAAGTGGATGCAAGCTTCCATAATTATTGTTACATTGTCTATTTCTCTAAACAGCCTTTTTTTTTTACAATTATGCTATAAAAAGCAAAATTAAGTATTCATGCGAGTAGATTACATTTAAAGTCAATGCAAACGCATAAATAGAAGTGAATATTCACTGGGTGGCACAAAAGATGTGGAATACACATCACCCTAACCCTGACCCTATCATTCTGTTCTCGAGATGAGGAGAAAGGTTAAAAAAGGTTGCCTTGGCAATCTTTAACCAAGATCTGAATATTGGTCAAATTTATTCATTGGGTAAGCACTTTTTTCCAAAAGTTGAGAAGTGTTAAATAAAATAAAACTTTGTCCTTTATTCAATATTCGCAATAGTCACTCACTGGACATTTCACCTTGAAAATGGTGCAAAATAAAGCAGCGTCATTTGTTTGCCATTTTTTATGTCTTGGTCTTATTTTTATTTTTTTACTCCTTGTTTTAGTTGATTACAAATGGTTCACAAAACAAAAATTTTTAGTCTAAAATTGCACAAAAAAAAAAAAAAATATATATATATATATATATATATATATATATATATATATATATATATATATATATATATATATATATTAGGCTGCATGTGAAGCGTTTTTGTAAATAAAAATGTAAAGCATTTTTGATGCACAGCATTTATTTCCAGTCGATTGCTATGATACAGATTATCCCCTCTGTACAGTTACAAGTCTTTAGCAGATTATTTGTTGACAGTGCATGGTATTGTCCTGCCATCCTCCACTTTGATTGGACAGCTACCTCAAAAAAGATACTGATTGGAGTGCGTTTTCAACTTGTAATGACTTAAAAAAAAAGCAGAGGGCTTAGCGCTGACAGTAAAATGCCCACTCAGCACCTTGCTTTGCTGCTAGCACAGAAAAAAAGTGTACTGCTACCATTGACAACAACATAAACAAACACTCAAATTGAGAAAAAAATGCACGCCCATACACATTCTTTAACACACATACACTACAACCAATTAAGTTTATTTAATTCACCTATAGCGCATGTCTTTAGACTGTGGGGGAAACCGGAGCACCTGGTGGAAACCCACACCAACACGAGGAGAACAGCCAAACTCCACACAGAAATGCCAACTGACCAAGCTGGGGCTCGGACCAGCGATTCAGTATTTATTTCACTTATTAATTAAATAATTCATTTATTCATACTTCAACAGTTTTTAATGCAATTTTTCCAGTGTTTTATTTCTCTTTTGTACTCCTCTATATAATGAGCATATATGCCTTTATACTCCCATATCTCCTTGTTCATAGCAATTTGAAGTACTAATGTACAAAATGAGAATGTGTTTTGAGGAAAATAACCTCATCCTTCCATCTGACATTTTTAGGAAGGGCTCAATAGCCCATAAATTTGAACATAAAAGTCATAAATGCCAGCATATGGCAGAAAAGGGAAGAAAAGATCAAATTGCAAATGTGCTGTGAATAACGAGATCTCCAGAAGAACGTGGGCAAGGAAGAGATAAAGAGATGAAAAAAGATAGAGAGAAGGAGAGATTCAACTATAAACGGTAAGCTAAAGAAAGAAGGTGTAGAGTGATTAAAAGAGAGAGGGAGTGAGAAAAATCTCATAAAAAAACACCACTGCATGAATATGGATATATTGTATGCTGCTATGTGGGAAAGAGACGGCAGGTTATGATCAGGAACAGAACCTTGTTTTATTGAGTTACATTATCATACCACAAGCCTTATTCCAGCCCCTTCAATTTGGAAATCACGTTCATGGTAAAAGCTCGCTTTTGTTACAAGGGAATGGAAGGAAATGTGCTGCAGATCAGATACATGGAGTGATAAGAGAAAAATCTTCCAAATACAGTACACTCACTGTAAAATATAATGGTATTGAACTCATTCAGGCAAACAATCTAAGTCTTCTTAAACTTTTGAAGCATTATAAGAGTACAAATGAAATCAAAACTAAACATGATTTTGTTAGCTCACATTGATAATTTTCTAGTAAACAATTCATCTGTCCTAGAAAAAAAATGTTTTCCCTTGTAATCGAAAATTTAAATCTGAAAATCCTGTTGTCAGTTAAATTCTCAGATTATGTATGTCTGAGGTATTGGGCGTGGCTAACATACTTAACCACGCCCCTCCAGCTGTCAATTTTAACAACAACAGAAATGGTGAAAGAGGTGTCTGTTAGGTTTTAATAACCTTTCTGAAACCCATTTCCCGATCTTTCTGAATGAAATGTCTACTTTACTGCATCCACTCAGCTTGCAGTAGAAAAAATAAGCCACAACCACTATGTTCTCACTTCATATTCCGTTTCTATATGTCCCAATAATAAAAATAAAAAAACTGTTGCAGGTCATGTTGACCTTAATGACCAAACTGAATGAAGTTATTTTGTTTGATAAGGTTTTTGCTTATATCAGGTAATTGAACTGATTGTTGGAAATATTTAAGTTTTTAAAAGCGATTAATAGTTCAGAAACTGCATAGCGTACATATACTTACCGGCTTACCACTTTATTAGGTACACCTACTAGTACCAGATTAGACACCCTTTAGCCCTCAGAACTGCCTTAATCCTTTGTTACATAGATTCAACAACATGATGGAAATATTCCTCAGAGATTTTGGTCCATATTGACATGATAGCATCACGCAGTTTCTGCAGATTTGCCGGCTGCCATCCATAATGCGAATCTTCTATTCCACTGTGAGAACTAGTGACTGATGGCCGTTTGAGTACAGTGAACTCATTGTCATGTTCAAGATACCAGTCTAAGATGATTCATGCTTTATGACATGGTGCATTATCCTCCTAAGTAGCCATTTAAAAATGGGTACACTAAGATGGACATGGTCAGCAACAATACTCAGGTAGGCTGTGGTGTTGACACGATGCTCAATGGTTCCAAAGTGTGCCAAAAAAATAAATAAATAAAAAATCCAACACACAATTACACCACGACCACCAGCGTGAACTGTTGATACAATGCAGGATGAATCCATGCTTTCATGTTGTTGATGCCAAATTTTGACCCTACCATCTGAATGTCATCGAGACTTATTAGACCAGGCAACATTTTTCCAATCTTCTACTGCATAATTTGGTGAGCCTGTGCGAATTGTAGCCTCAGTTTCCTGGTCTTCTGCTGCTGTAGCTCATCCGCCTCAAGGTTTAACGTATTGTGCATTCAGAGATACTCTACTGCATAACTCTGTTATAATGTGCACTTATTTGAGTTACTGTTGTCTTTCTATCAGCTCGATAGCTGATAGAAAGGCATTCGATAGCTGGCTCGATAGCTGGCCATTCTCCTCTGACATCAACAAGGCATTTGTGAGTGAAAATTCCAGTAGATCAGTAGTTTCTGAAATACTTAGACCAGCCCATCTGGCACCAACAACCATGCCATGTTCAAAGTCCCTTAAATCCCCTTTCTTTCCCATTCTGGTGCTCAGCTTGAACTGCAGCAGATCATCTTGACCACGTCTACATGCTTAAATGCATTGAGTTGCCATGTGATTGGCTGATTAAAAATTTGCGTTAACGAGCAGTTGGACAGGTGTACCTAATAAAGTTGCCGGTAAGTGTATAATATACGGTAGTACTATAAAATCCCCTAAAATACCAAATATTGATATATATATATATATATATATATAACCAATTAAAAAAACATTCAATGACATTAAAAACAAACAAAACCAGAACATTAGAATAAGCATCATTTTAATCCTTTTAATATATTTCCATATACTTTAATGTGTACTTAGAAAAAAAAAATCAAGTATTATGCAATAAATGTATTTGCATTTTTAATGAAATGAGTGCGATGAAAAACATTTCATGATAGAAGTTCAAGAGATACTCGTTTATCATTATTAGCTTTATATAACCAGCACAACATTAGCAAACACCACAATTACGCAGTGCCAGACCTCCCTGATAATCGTAATACAATTATGTTGTGACACTGGTCACTGTAGGCTTTTCTTCTGCTGTCAGAGTCAAACAGAGACACAAGCACAGGCAAAATGACAGCGGAAGAGAGGAAGAAAGAGAGTCTGAGCTTAAACTGAGCTTAACTGACAGCCTGAGCCAATGCTAATGTTATCTCTGTGATTTAGTCTTGTGTGTGGGAGCCTCTGGGCTCAGCGCTCATGGGATCATTGCACATTGTAATGCCCTGTGACACCAATGGAGCTCTTTCTCCATTGCCATCCAATGAAGAACTCTGGGGGATTGAAGATTGTCTTCTTGGCTCTGAGCAGACGTCTTCATTTTTCTCCCTTTTTGAGCGAAGATAATGTCTTTTTAAGTGGCCTGAATGCATTTCTGGAGAACTCCAAAATTAATAATTCCCTTAATGTTTCACTGTGTTCTACAACATTTTGCTATGGAAGGTGTTTGGTAATCCTGTTAAGAAGTATGAGAACTAAACTGTCTGCGTGAAGACAAATTAGCTTGTCCTTATTTCAAACGGTGATCAATCAGCATTGTCAAACTTGTAATAAAACCTCACTTTATGTTCCTGCTATACAGTTCGGCGATATGTAGCGAGTCAGGTGATTAACGTTATTGTCTCTGCTGTTTCTTTTTTCTTCCTTCGACACCCACAGCGATTCGCTCAATAACTAATGCAGTCATCTCAGAAGCATCTCATGTTCTCTCATCCCTCTAGATTTGAAGCTCATAACAGCTCAATATAGTTTATTCACCTTCTCCAAGGTTTCACAGCAATAATAACCATAATAACTTTTCTGGCTCTCCTTCTGTTTTTCAGATGAGTTCAAGGCCTTTCTCAAGAAATTGCCAACGGATCATTTTTTAAACACCTCTGCCGTCTTAAAGTTCTGGACGTCAGATCTGGTCCTGCAGAGACGTTATGGCCTGCTGGAGGCGAGCACTAAAGTGGTGCTGGGAAAAGCCATCAAGATAGTGCGCAAACTCTTCGCTCTCAGCAAGCGCTGTCCTACGCAGCCAAAAATCAGCCTGCCTAGAGAAAGGTAAGAGGCTAAGTGATCTTTTTTAGATCGTAAAACATAGGGTAGCATGTAAAATGTGAGTTTTATGAAGCGTCAAGTAAACGAATAGCAACTGACACTAAATCTGTCATTATTTACTCTACCTAATGCTATTTCAGACTGGCTTTTTTCAGAGGAACGTGAAAGATATTTTAAAAAAGGCACCCAGTTTGCCTACTTGTCTTAAAAGTATGCACTCTTTTTTTATTAAAAAAGCAAGTACATACTTTTAAGACTTGAGTAGGCAAATTGGGTGCAACAGAAGGGTTTGCTTGCTTTGACATCCTAACATCTGGCAGCTAGCTCTCTGCAACTCTCACATGGCCACCCACTAAAGCTAAGCAGTGCTGCGAACGGTCATTTCCTGGATGAGAGAACACATGGGACAGCCGGGTTGCTTCCAGAAGTGGTGTTAGTAAGGCCAGCAGGGGGCACTCAACCTGCGGTCTGTGTGGGTCCTAATGCCCCAGTACAATGAAGGGCACACTATACTATCAGTGAGGGCTGTCTTTCGGATGAGATGTTAAACTGAGGTCCTGACTCTCTGTGGTTGTAAAGAGTAGGGGTTTAACCCCGGAATTCTGGCCAAATTTGCCCACTGGCCTCTGTCCATCGTGGCCTTCTAACCATCCCCATATCATAATTGGCATAATTCTCTTCTCCACCTATGTGTGGTGTGCGGTTTGGCGCAATATGGCTGCCGTCGTGTCATCCAGGTGGATAATTATTATTATTATTATTATACTTCATTAATGGACCATTCATTTGCTATCTTACCCTTTTAATCATTTTGTCACATACTGTAACTTATATTTATTGTATTTAATGCAACTACTGTATTGGAGATGATGCAGCACCACATTAATCTGACATTTGCTTGGGCTTCATAAAGAGAATTTTCCTCACGTATTGGCAGAGTTAAGTTATCAGAAGTTAAAGTCTGTGTGAAATGAAAATTTGCAATGTTTATTTTGCTAGGGCTTGTTGTTATTCTAACAACTAATCTGTGCAAGTTAATCCAATTTAAAAGAAAAAAGTTTGGTAACCAAAGTCTAACTATTTGTTTCTGCGATGTTGTGGTGGTCCTTCTCTGTTGACATTGATTTGACGTTAATTGCTTCAGCCACAACATTATTAACCACTCCCCTCTTAACTTACTTTCCTCATACTACTATGAATTACTATGAATGGTGCTCGAAAAGAAAGCCCCAACCTCTAATCAATATTCCGTTTCAGATGGAAGTACATCAACATACCGAAATAAAACTCTCAGCACCTTCCAGTTCATGCAGGTTATAATGATTAATCACTTTTTAAAAGTTATAAAAGACTAATCATAATGTTCAAACGAATTACTACATAGAAAACATTAGACAAATATTTTCCATCAGGTTAAATTTTAAGTTAAGTTTATTTATAAACTAATTTCGAGAGAATCGCGTGCTTATGATTGATCACAGCTAGTCCTGCATTAGCTAATTCATGACTCAATCAATCAGACGATTTCTAAGTCTCTGTTATAAGTTTCTAAGTTCCATACCACAGTCATCTTCATTTTGAAGAATCCCCCCTTCCACCCCTATTCCTACTCCTCCTTTCTTAGATGGGCAGCCCAGCGGCCTAGTGGTTGCCTTACAGCAAGGACATCACTGGATCTAGTCCTTACCAGGACAGTCAATGTTTCAGTGCAGAGTTTACATGTTCTCCCTGTGTTGACGTCAGTTTCCCCCAGGTCCCCCAGTTTCCTCCCACCATCCAAAAACATGCGACTAAAATTAATTTACTCATCCAATTCTGTACCATAGACCTGCTCCTAGTAAGTAGTTATCTCTTCATCTCCTTATTGTTTATTAACTACAAACAGCAGGGAAGTTCTCAAGATCTAGCTGAGCTCAAACTCCCCTCTCACCCTGCAAACGAGAGGGAGCCCCAGGATTGAGGATCTTATGAGCTCAGGGTTCTCACCCAAGACAGCAAATGAAAAGCAAATGGAAAGCATCTTGAAAAGGGCGGGGCATGTCAGATAATAGAGAGCATTTGAATGGTTATGATGAGATGAGAACCTGTATTGTGAGGTGACGTGGATAAAACCATTGATCCATTTGGGCGAAAATGACAAACTGCAAGCTTTACATGTTTAAATCAGTTTTATATCTTATAAAAGCTAATTTTGTCACTGTTTTGGAGAACACTAGCGTATAGATCCTAAAAACAAATAATACTGATACTAAAATAAAAAAAAACTTTATTTTAATTTCATGAGACCTTTTATCTAAGCCACTTAACCTTCGGTCTAAGGCATTCACCATTTTTGTAGACTGCTAACATTTTTTTTAGCTGTGTTTGTACCCATGTTAGTTGAATTTACGTCAGGCCTACAACAATTTCTGGCTAATATTAGCCGTAAGAGATGGATATGAACATCAAATTTCTACAAAAACATGTATTATCTTTCTTTGTGTTCTATAGTGAGTAAGCCCATTCACACCAAACAATATAAGTGTCAAAAGCAATGAACATTGTTCTGTTTATCATAAACACTTGCTCCAGTTTTCTCATCTGGCATAGTTCACACAAAGCTAAAATTTATCTCAAAATTTCTTACTTGTCCAATACTGTTTGAGTTTCTTTCTTTTGTTAAACATCCAACAACATATTTGAAAGAAAGCCTGAAAATGGTAACCATTTACTTCCGTAGTAATTGTTTTTCCTACTATGGTTACCAGTTTCCAGCTTTCTTTAACTTAATCTTATGTTTAGCAGAAATAAACAAGGGACTAATAATAGTTTTGCACATTGGGTATGAATAATTTGTCATTTGTGAGAACTATTACTTTGAAAGACCATTATGCTCAAATGCCCATAGTATAAATGAGAGGTAAATAAAACGCCTCTGGCTATGTGTACACGCAACCAAACTGGTAATTGAATTGAGTCTATCAACAGCTTATTTGAACTGACAAGCCTTCATGTAAGCACCTTATTCAATCCAATTGAACTTGATTGAAATGAAATTCTGATCCAATTGGAAGAGGTGTTGTTGACATCTCTAATTGATCAAGAGGACATGTATGCAAACCCGTGATCAGACTGAATACTAAAAATGGAAAGTACCGCACATGTGCAATAAGGTAGAAATGCTGCATAAATGACGATCATGTTATTCTAAAATTCCCCTTCCACTCATCGTCTGTGAAGTGGAGGAAAACAACAATCCCATCATGCTCTTATCCACAGGCCTGTTTTGGCCATGGGAATGGGTACTTTTACAGCTTAATAAATAAAAGCAGCATGACACAAAGCTTCATGTGCTCATGATCTCCTAATTTGGATCCAAAATAGATAAGTATTAAGTCTGCTCTTCAAAACAGAGAAACGATATGATGGTAAAAGAATACTACGTTAAAAGATAAAATCAGATTAAAAGCTTTAGACATATAAACCTGTTCACTTTAAACAGAATTTTTAAATATTTAAACATGGCCATTGTGTGAAATAATCTGTCTTTGCATGGCACATTGACAATAACGTACAAAATAGTTCTTTCAATAATATTCTGAATCCTTCACATGACAATCAAGTCTTCCGTGATGAACCAAGGAAAGTTGGAAAATTCATTTTTGAAAATGTTTGTTACAGGCTGATCTTACACTGACAATAAAATATTACTTATAAAATGTATTCATTTGTTATTTTTTATTTATTTATTGATTGATTTTACATTTAGCCCTTCAAAACGGGGTTTCTGGCTGTCATCGTTCAACTGGAAGATAATATTAATAATTGTGGTGTGGACTCAATTTATTATAATCTTTATGTCCTTGGTGTGAGTGGGCCTTAAATAATTATCTATAATGTACTCATACATTCTACTTCTCCTACTTTAGCCTTCATACATTTGCTCTTTTAATTCTGTAACAGTTTATGCTCTCATAATAAATGGTATAATCCAACATTGTGTTTATTTGGACTATGGCTGAAAGGCATTGAAGCTGCTCTATTTCATGGTCTGGTTGTTGCTCTTACAGGACAATTATTTAGTTTTTGGTTTGTTTAGGAAAAAAGTTGCTGGGGAAAAAAAGAACTTAGAAATGAGGCTGGGGGATATAAAAAAAAAATACATTCAGCCTTGTAGGGTCTGAATAGAGTGAACGTAACTGAAGAGTGGTCAGCAACTGCACACTATAATCAAGAGCTCCATGCGAGTGACAGGTTGTAGTTACCATCCTTCAGCTTGAAGACTTTCGCTACTTTCTGATGGCTTCCACCTTGTCGACTGTACAGAATATGTAACACAGCACAATGAAAAACTCAAGAACTCACCCAAACTGATCATGTAAGACATTTTTAGGCATCATTATGGCTTATTATTATGATTATAATGCACAAACAGGACCAAATTTGCCTCATATGGCATTGTCTTATTAGTATTATATTTTAAATTTATTATATATATGATTTAATAAGCTTTAAATGTAATAATGACTTAGTATCCTATCATGACAGGTTTGAATGTTGCACTCACACTCCATTTGGCCAAATTTGAAATCTTCTGAACTGAAACAGGAACAATAAGTATTACCCAAAATGTAGCTATTATATGATATATTAAGTTTAAAAAGTTTAAACTTAATATAAAAGTTTAAATTTAAAAAGTGCAGAATAAAAATCTTTTAGCACTGAAGATTCGCATAAGAGAGTGCCAGTATTTAATTTTCAGAACCAAGCTAAACCAAGCCAATATGAATGAGCAAGCACTGCTTAGTGTTTTATTTAACTGTCTGAATTTCATCCTGACATCAAAGGCTCTCATGAACAAACCACACTAGTGGATTTATAAGATTATTAATAAACTCAAGAGTCCAGGACAAAAGGAAGACCCGATGAAATGAAATCTCAGCCAACAGAAAGGGCATGTTACGCAAGACATTTTATTTATGTATGCATGGCATTAAGTATGCGTCAACAGTTGTGAAGTGAGTAGGAAGATAATGGAGAGCCCATGGAGTCGGAGCATTTATTTAAGTGACTTGTCTCCTGCTAAATTGGATGAAAGAATATGAAAAGGATGTACTGTCTCCTCACACACATCCCCACAGGCTTTTAAGACGCACTTCCTCTACTGGTTAAGAACAATTTGCATTTGTCAAAGAACAGGCCATCAGCACTCCATTAATATTTGTATCAATCAGATTGAGAAAATGAATGCCTCATTTAGCCCAAAGAAAATAAGGCTGATGTCAGCTTCTGGCTGAACAATTTTAACATGTTAGCTGAACAATTTTTCATGTCAGTGATGCCTAGATTTCATATGCATTTATTAAAGTCTAGACTAAGTTTTTTCTGGAACTAATTTTGTTGGTAATTATCACCTTCTTCCTTTCAGGACGCTGGGGTTTTGGCTCAACAAAGCTCAGTCTCTGTTGTACTGCAGTGAGCATGGTGTGCACGGCACATTCTCTGAGGATCTGCAGGGCTGCATCTGCGCCGCAGAGCAACGCACCGTCTGCCAGGGCACTGTGCCATGTAGGGTGGGTGAGGGTACCCTCTGCTCCTCCTGCGCCCCGGACAACATCACCCGCTGTGGCACATGCCTCCCAGGCAGCATCCTGCATATGGGCTTCTGTCGACCCAATATTGCCAACTCTTTGGACCACTATGTCAACTTTGACTTTGACATGCCAGACGCAGAGATGCGTTACCTTCTTCAAAGGCTTGACAGTCGCATGGAGGTCCACGCTATTTACATTAGCAATGATGTGCGTTTAGGCAGCTGGTTCAACCCGGCGTGGAGGAAGCGCATGCTGCTCACCCTCAAGAGCAACAAGAACAAGTCCAACCTCATCCACATGCTGATGGGGATCTCTTTCCAGATCTGTTCCACCAAGAACAGCACCCTGGAACCCGTGCCTGCAATCTATGTCAACCCCTTCGGGGGAAGTCACTCCGAGAGCTGGTTTATGCCTGTCAACCAGCAGGACTTCCCGGACTGGGAAAGAACTAAATTGGACGCCTCGCTCCAGTGCTATAACTGGACCCTCCCTCTTGGCAGCAAGTGGAAGTCTTTCTTCGAAACGGTGCACATTTACCTGCGAAGTCGCATCATCACGGACGATCCCACGGTCAATGAGACGCTTTTTTATGAGCCGCTGGATTTGGATGATCACTCGGCTAACCTGGGCTACATGAAAATCAACAGCCTGAAGGTGTTTGGCTACAGCATGCACTTTGATCCCGAGGGGATCAAGGACCTGATCCTGCAGTTGGACTACCCGTACACGCAGGGCTCGCAGGATGCAGCCTTCCTGATGCTTCTGGAGATGAGGGACCGCATCAACCGACTCTCTCCACCCGGGGCCCAGCCGCTGGACCTCTTCTCCTGCCTCCTGAGGCACAGGCTCAAGCTTTCGTCCAGCGAGGTGGTGCGCATACGGGAAGCGCTCCAGAGTTTTAATACCAAGCTTCCCAACTCCAATGAGCCAGAACTCAGCCAGCTGTGCAGCTAGCTCAAATGAGCCTCTGTCGCTCATCCTTGCCTGCCTGTGAGAATGTATTTGTAAATGTGATGAGAAAAGAAAGGAAATGGAAATATATTCTCAGTGTGTGCGTAAATGTTTGTGGCTGAGATTTTCTTTGAACACTCTTCCTTTGAGTGGCAATAGAAAGAAACAGAATTTTTGATTGTGACTGATTCAGGAGCAAACCATGTGGAAGCCGTTAGTTGCCAGAATATTCCCCTGCTGGGAAAAACTTGTTGGATCTAGCCTACAGTCAAACTTATTTCGCGTCTACTCGGGTTCTTTTTAAGACAGTGGGGATTTTACCTAAGTGGACTGCCAACATTATCCAAGAAAAATAAGTGAGAATAATCATGGTTTCCTAGCACATATGTGCTGGTGCTGTTGTTATTCTTGGTGATGTCAATGTTTGAGATGAATCTTCTGGAGAATCGACAATTCCAATGTAAAGTCTATTCAAATGTAAAGTGTTGGAGCGCAGTGGTCCAACAAATATAACAATCAGCAGAGACTTAGATTTGTGCTTTTTTATTTTATCTGGAGTCGCAAATCCTGTATTGTGAAATCTGTATATCTGTATTTAATGTGGGATTGAATTGCAAGAATGTTGGATAGAAAATCCTTTGTATTCAGAGATAAGGCTAAACCAAAAGGTAAACATGAAAGCAAACTGAATGGAACAATTTCTTTACTTTTCTAATGTTCGCTGAAATCTCTTTTGAGAAGGCAACTAAGGTTACAGTACATACTTACAATATTGTTTTGAACAGGTATGTGGGTTGCTTTGTAAATACTGCTCATCTCATTCAAGGCGTGAAAAGCTTCACTCTGCTTATTGGATACTTACTGATAAACACCCGTATTTGTACTTTTTGAAGTGCAAACACCAAAAAATAAAACACAGACACACACAGACACACACAGACACACACACACACACACACACACACACACACACACACACACACACACACACACAATTCAACAAAACAATTGCCTTATTAAGTGAAGTCTCTGTTCTGATATCAAAGCACACTTGGCTGTATGTCTCTCTCTCTTTAAGAAACAAAAGCTGAAGACATGTATTCTCTTTCTTTTCTTCCCTCTATACTAAATTCTGATTTTTAGTGACCTCTAATCTGTAAATGTTAATTTTTAATTGAAGTGTTATATGAGGAGTGCATTACGTGTCATCTATGTGCAAATACAGATTTACATTTACATCATCTGATTCAATAGCTTTGTTTTCCACAACATTTTCCTGCTTTTCTACCGTATTTGATGATGTGACGAGGCACAAATGTAGTACATGAATTGGTTTTAGCATCGCTTCATCTTGAGGCAATTATTTCCACTCATTATTTAATAACTGTACATGTACTGCTAAAGTGTTCTTGATTTAGCTCCTTGGGTTGTAACATTTGTCAACACAAACAACCGCAAAATTGCAGCCTTTGACAACACGGAGCATTTATTACTGCTTTTTATATAAAACCGGAATGTGTGGAAATGTCTGTGAAAATTGCATATATGCATCAACATAAAAAAGCTATCAGTTTTCTGTCAAGATAAGATGGATCGCTCAATATATGAGGAGCAACTTATACAGTGTGGGGCAAAAAAAAGGAATAAAAAAAGTGCAATTTATGCTGTTGTCATGGAGAAACGTAAGACCTGTGACTCAACGGCGAAGGGGGAAAAACATTTTCTCTAAATTCAAAAGATGAAAATCACAAGGAGTGTGTAAATGGGAGTTGTTTATCTTAATGTGTTAGACAGGAATCAGTTTTCGCCCTTCAACAAATCGTCAAGACAGCGAAGGCCGTCTAATCAATCACAACAGCCCTGTACAAACTGGTATTTTCCCTTGAGAAATAATAAGGAAACATTTCTGTAGTTTAAAATATACCGTGATTAAACTGCTTGAAGTTGTGGAAAAATTTCTAAAAACTTCAACTAATTAAGTCGTGATTACAAATATCCTTTAAACCATATTATACAGCAAAAATCAATTCAAGGCACTCAAAAATGTGAAAAAATCCTTAAAAAGCCTTTATTCACAAGTGCCTCAGACTGATGTTTGCTGTTTATTCTGATGAATCCCTTACCCAAAGAGCACAGACGCATTTTTTAAAGCTACCCCTGAGCACTTTTTGTTTTATTTTGGATTTTTATACAGGGTAACACTTTATTTTGATGGTCCATTTGAGTATTAGTAGACTGTCTGCTATGTTGTTTCTGCTCCTTTGACAGACATTTAACTGACTATAAGAAACTTTGCAAGTACATGGAACTTACACTAAACCCTAACCCTAACCTAACAGTCTACTTATAATCTAATGAGAACTAGTTGGCATGTAGATGCATTGTACCTTAAATTCAACAAATGCAGCATCAAAATAAAGTATGACCTTTTACTGTACACCATCTTTCAAAAGCTTGGATTTATACATGTTTTTCAGTTTTTTATGTGCTAAAGGAAACTTGCTTTAGTTTGTACTTGTTATGGAATGGAAAGAAACCATTTTTTCTTAAGTAATTACACCAATCTGTAGCATCATGTTATATTTTATAGATCTTTCCAATCCATCTTTTTTCCAAATAAGTCTATTGTTGTTTACAAGTAGGGGCTTTCTTGACTGAAAGACTGAAAGAAATCATGTCAAATCATAAGGTTGTGCTATAAAATCTTATCTTGAGATTTACTGAAGAAGCTGTAGATTTTCCATTCTGTTATATATTTTCAGATGTCATTGGGATAAAATAGTTCTTAGTATTTTTATATAACAATAATATCTATAGCACAGTTTTTCAGGCCCCTGCATTCTCTGCCATCTGATTATTTTTATTTATCCTTTGTCTATGCTGTAACATATTGTGTATTATGTTCCATCTATGCTTCATTCTGCTCTAGTGATTAAATGTCTGATATATGCCATGAATAATTTACTGGAATGCATTGAATGAATGAATCTGTCCAAATCATCAAATCGCTTTCCAGGTTTTCTTCACACAGATGCTTTAAAATATCTTTTTTTTCTCTCTCTCTCTCTATTGACAGCACTGACTATAAAGAATCTAATCCTGATAAATACAGCACTTGCTATCGTAAACTATGAATAGCAAAATAATTTTTATTGAAGCAATGTGTAATACATAATGCAGACATATTTGACTTGAAATCATGAAGCAATCAGGCTTTTGGGGTTATTATTGCATAATAAAAATAATTTGCACATCCTTTCACTTTTATAAACTCAATTTAAAATTAATATTTGATGGTTGTACACTGTTAACAAATTCCTGCAGAATCTACTGTAATTTACTAGCAGCAATTCACCAGTAACTTACTGTAGATCAATTACAGTTAAAGTACTGTATTTATTTACAGCACCATATATCTTGTGGTCTATGCATTTACAGTTTTGTATATCTTTACTGTAACATATACAGTAATTTACAGTGCATCTTTAAAGTACGGTAACAAGCTACATAACTGACCTACAGTAAAATACACTTCACATTACAGTTAAAGACTGTCATTTACAAAAATCAAAAATCGTTAATAGTGCAATTAACAATGTCCTGTAGAGAAACCTACTGTAAATCAATTACAGCATAAATATTGTATTTACATTACAACATCTCACTGTATATGCATTTACAGTATTGTATATCTTTACTGTAAAATGTACAGTAATTTTCACAATGCAACTTTAAAATACAGTTACATACTGCATAACTGTACTAAAGTAAAATATAATTCACATTACACTTAAATGCTGTGTAATTTACAAAAAAATTGTTAATAGTGCAGTTTACAATGTCCTGAACAATCTACAGTAACCAACTGTAAATCAATTACAGCAAAAATACTCTTCACATTTACAACACCATCTCACTGTATATGCATTTACAGTATCGTATTTATTTACTGTTAAATAGGCAGTAATTTTACAATGCAACTTTAATATACGATAACATACTGTACTGCATAACTGCCCTAAAGTAAAAAAAACAGTTCACTATACAGTTAAGTACTCCGTCTTTGCAATAAACGTTTACTGTTGGTTGAGTAACCTCATAGGCCCTAGTTAATTACTTTAAAATGCTGATTAAACTATAAATGCTAGGTTGCTTTAATCCAACTTTTTGTAAGTGTAGGAAAAATCTGATGTGATTGTTTAGTTCTGAAGAAATATTTCATACTATTATTAATGCTGAAAGTATTTATGGTGATTACAATTTCAGTGAAAACAGTGACAGTGTTTCAGAATTTAGCAGCACTTATTTAAAATGCTGTTTGAAGTCACTGTGAATGTCTTTTCAGAATAATAGTACTGTATTCTTAGAAAAAAATGGTCTTGTTTCTAGTATAATTATCTAAATATTCTTAAACCAAAAAGCATTTTCTAAAAAAAGAAAAACTTATTGTCTTGATTTAAGAAAAGATATGGCAAAATAATTGAGTTTTTTTTTTTCTCTTAAAACAAGCTAAATAATCTGCCAATGGGGTAATAAAACAATATTGTTTTAAATCTTAGCCCATTGACAGATTGTGTTGCTTGTTTTAAGGAAAACCTCACTCGGTTTTGGCAAATTATTCCTTAAAACAAGACAATAGAATTTATAGATGTTTGGGCAAGAAACAATACAAAACCTTTAGGTAAAAAAAAAAACAGTTTTTGCAGCGCATTAATAAAATCAAAGACCCCAAAACTTTGAACTGTACAGTATATGTAATGTAATGGATGTTATGTTCCTATGTTTAATTCAAGTTATTTTAACATACTTTAATACAGGCCTAGTGTATTTTTGGTAACTCGTTAAATTAACAGTCCATTACTTAATTTTAGATATGTTTTTGTATTTTTTAATATAAGTTGTGCTTGTTATCATTAGATAATGCCCTGCCCTGTAACATGAACTAACAATGAACAACTTTATTTTAATGAACTAGCATTAACAAAGAATAAATACTATAATTAATGTATCATTCATCGTTTGTTCGCGTACTAGAAACAATAACGAACAGACTAATATTTAAAAGTGCTACCATGATTGATTCCTAAATTAATAAAAATAAGATATGAAAGTATAAGATATGAATCTTGGGTCAATATCTCTAGTATGTTTTATCCCCCATTCTAATATATTTCTGTTCAAAAATAGTTCCAACCATCAGGCACACATTCTTGTTTATGTGCACAGTTGACAATGAAAGTTATTACGTTTTCTCAACACAAAGGCATATGATGAAATTTCATTACTTACGAAGGCTCTGCTGTACATGTTGTCATGCCCTCTCATGCCAAAGTCAACATAATATCTTTGTGATTCCAGTTTTTACTATTTATGTATGCTCTTTTAGTTTCCTTTAGCACATTTTATGTTTTACTGTACTTTGCATTTGAAGCATTGTGCATTTGCCGTCAACACAGACCAGACAGCGCTCAGCTTCTTTACTGTATCGGTTTGAAGCAGCCTTGTTTTTGTTTCTTTGGGAATTCATCAAGGGTTTCATTCTGATTTATGCTTCTCAGATGCGCGAGATTATGCTTTTCTAGAAACATGTCAAATGCGACCTACTTTCAGGCTTTCTCTGCACGCCATTTCAGTGACTTAAAAATCAAAAGACTCGAGGAAAGCGTTCGAAAACCAGTCCTCATTAGCATTCTCTGAAAAAGAAATAAATAGTCTAATGTGCACATTAACACTGCGGAAAGGAGAAAACAATTATTTGTAGTGTAATCATTGCATTCGCCTCAGCCTGTGCGTATTTTTCTGAGCATGCTCTGAAATCAAAATGGCATAATTTCAAACACATCCAGTTCCAATTTGAGGTATCTGTTGGCTCTAGACTCTTCAACTAAAGGCCATTTAAACTCTAAGAA